CTGAATGCACATCATTAATCAAATGCGAGGACTAGATGGGAGCTCTGCAGAGAGGACTCTGTTTGACCCAGCAGAGCCGGATGGAGAGGGTCATTGTCCCTGTTCCTAAGAGAACGCTCAAGGCCGACATCTTGTATTTGGAAATCACCCACGTCTAAAGAAGGCCGTTGGAGCTGACCGCGCGGCCACGTGCCTGCTGCCCACTGCTTCTGGATGTGCGCTGTGCTGGCTCAGGGCTGCATCTGCAGGGGCCCGCACTTGAAGCAGCTTGGCAGAGCTCCTGGGTTGGGAGAACGGAAGCTCAAGCTTCAGGGGTCGGGCGGGGACCACCAGACCCGGGGACCCAACCCGCACTTGAAGCAGCTTGGCAGAGCTCCCGGGTTGGGAGAACGGAAGCTCAAGCTTCAGGGGTCGGGCGGGGACCACCAGACCCGGGGACCCAACCTGGCGGGCTTTGTCCTCAGTTCCAAGCTCGCCCACCTGTCCTGAAGCTTCTCACTCACACCCCAGCCTTCTCTGCCTGGTGGTGGGGAGCAGCTGCCCCGTGAGCTGGGTCACATCCTTAAAGTTCCAGCAGAGAAAATGAGCCAAAATGAAAGAAACGCCATGTCTGGTTGAGCTCCCATCCTGTTCCTCAGGAGAAGGGCGTCATGGGACAAGATGGTGGCCTCACCACCCCGTGGCTTGACTGGGAAGGTGACTGGGGACTCTCCAAGAGAAAGATGTACCACCTACCTGTGGCGTCACACAGCTGTGTGCCTGCTGCCCTGCTTTCCACCTGGCTGTGCCCCAGCTCAAGGGGATCCACTGGGAAGGAGGGGAACTATTGCTATTTTCTGACATTTGTAAGAATTTGTTGCATCCATGTGCACCTGTGTATATCAGGGTTCCCACTCCTAATTTTTAGGGTGTTGGATCCAGTTCTGTAAAGAGGTTCTGAATTCTCACACCTGGTTCCCTCTCAGCACAGGCAGCCCGTTGCCGGTCTACGCTGCAGGCTGCTCTGCGTGGGCTATTGTGACCCCCTTGCATGGAGGTCTCTAACCTGCTGCAGGGTTCACCTGAGCGTTTTCTGAACATGCAGGTGGCAGGGAGGTCTCCAGTGCCCAGGGAAGGCCAGATGCTTCTTGGTGACACTGGGGGGTTGGTGTGACTTCCATCTGGGACCCAGATCTTCCTGACATGTCAGAGGGTCGTGAGAGAGTCACCCAGTTCGGAGGCTTCTGTTCCTTCCTGCCTCTAGCCCTTTACTGATGCCTTCTAGCACAGAACTTCCCCTCCCAGGGTCAGTTCAGGGCTTGGCTCAGCTTTTGGAAAGGAAGGGTGCTGGACCTGGCTTTGGGGACGGGCACGGGGCAGTTGCCGTCAGGATGGTGTTTTCTGGAATCCACTTTCTTTGGACTTATCCTTTGGTCTCGGGGATTTGGGCCCCTTTAATCCTGGGAAGATGAAAGTCCTTTGTTAGTGCCTGTGAGCTCTCTGGCCCCAGAACTCAAAGGCGGCCGTGGCTCCAGGGCTCCAGAGCAGGCTTTTCTCCACCAGTTTAGACAGATATCAACTCTGGACACTTATTTAACCCCCAAATCCTGGGTAATCAATTCTGGAACTTAAGACAGCATCAGCCACGTTTTTTCACTGTTAAGTACCCGCAAGCTGCGGTGTGCTTTAGTCTGCAAGTACAGCAGGCCTGGGGCGACCTTGGTGCTGGCCACGAATTCACTTTGCACCTGAGTTGAAAGTGCGTCGAGTGTAGCCGTGGAGTGGGAAGATGAGATTTGGAATTTGGTTTGTACTTGGAATCACTCACGGCTCATTTTGTGTGCGCGTGGTGGCGCGGTGAGCTCACAGTGACAGTTTCAGAAAGAACAGGAGGGACATCCATGGTTCATGCATCTCCATGTCTTCAAATAATTAATGAAGGCAATTCACCTAGGAAGCTGTCCCAAAGCTCCCACAAGTTTTTACAAGAAATTTAGTTGCCTACTTTATCTGTGAGTTCCTTTAATTAAAAAAGAAAATCTTTAAAACCTCAATAGCTGACCTGTCTTAACAGCACCATACACATGAAACGTGTTTTGCATAAGCTGGGCGCCGTGGTGCACACCTGTAATACCAGCTCTACCAGGGACTAAGGTAGGAGGATCACAAGTTCGAGGCAACTTGATGAGACCATGTCTCAAAACAAAATAAGAAAGGGCCCAGGAAATAGCTCAGTGGTGCTCTGGGTTCAATCCCCAGTACCAAAAGAAAAAATCAGGTTATACTTAGCTGCTGCAACAACCCCAGGTTTGTGATTCTGTCTGTCTTTGTCGTTGGGTGTGACGTTAATGACTGTACCTGTGTTTATGTCATGCTTACTCAAACGTGGCCTTTCTGTTTGGTCTATTGCAATTCTTGTTTTCTTTTGCAAGTAAACTCGTCGCAGCTGAGCCACGGGGTGCCCACGTGCACCCTGCCTCTCCTGCACTGGCACTCACCAGCCCGGCTCCCTTTTAGCAGCCCTGTCACGGTGGCAAACACGCATTGCTGCCATCTGCCAGGCACTGTCCCAAGTGCCAACTCCGTGGCTCTTGGAGGAAGAGGAGGCTCACAGAGCTTAACCAGCGGCCAAAGGCGCTGACAAGACAGTGGTGCAGCTGACAGCTCGGGCCGCTGGGCTCCGGAGTGTGAAGAGTGTGGGCTGCAGAGCTCAGCATCCGCTTTGCCCGAGGCCTTCTGGAGCCTCACTGGGTCCCTCAGACGGTGGCTGAGCCTGCGCAGTGTGGGGCACATTGAGAGGGGCACTCAGGAGACATGCTTTTGCACCGTGGTTCTTCAGCATCCTCAGTTGTTCACTGGAGGGCGCCCACCCCCCTGCTCAGCTCTGGTGGGTCACTGGGTTTGCATTCTGATGGCGTGGTGGCAGGGTCCATCCTGCAGCTCAGAGGAGGCGGTTTGCTGGGGACCCCCTGCATTCCAGGCAAACACCCCACTGGGCTCCTGTGTATGATTGCAGGGCGGCCCCTGCTAAAAGCTGAGGGTGCTCAATGAGAGACTCTGCCAGCCCTCCTCTGCTGGGGTAGGAGCAGAAAGGGACTTCATGAGAGCTGTCTGCAGCAGGGTGCCTGCAGTGTCCCCATGCTCCAGAGCCCTGAGCACACCTCTAAACAGAATTAGCTAAGGGCATGTTCCCACAGTAGCCCTTCCCCACCTCCTGACAGAGTCCCTGAGACTTGAGTTGGTGGAGCTGCAGAGAAATGAATGATTGAAGAGCTAATTGATAGGACCTGGTGTGGACATGGGACCGTGACAGGAGGGGAGGTACCGAGGTACTCTGGGGAGTCTGACTTGAGCACAGGCATGGATGAGGGTCCATTCAGCTGAGCAAATGTTAGAAGAGAACCCGTTTGAGCAGAGTTAATTCATGAGAGCTTTGGGAATTAATTTGGAATTGCTTTCTGAGTCCTACAACTGGAGACATGAAGAAGGTAATTGGATGCATGTGCAGAGTCAGGGGAGATATCCTGGCTTGAGATAAAGCCATCTGCACGTGAGGGTTGTCTGCAAGGGAGGGCCATTTGTTTGTGGGGTCATTTGCATGTAGGGAGGGGGACATTTGTATGTTGGGGTTTTCTGCACGCAAGAGATTGTTTGTATGGAGGGGTCATTGACATGTAGGGATCATCTGCAGGTGGGAGTTGTCTGCCCATAGGGGTCATCTGCCCACAGGGGACATCTGCATGTGGCCTAGAGCCACCATGTGTGGGTGGAGGAGTTATCCCCTGGGAGCCTGTGGGGTATGAAGAGGTCAAGCCCGTGTCTGGTTTGGGTGGGACCTGGGTTTGAGTCCCAGCTCTGTGACCCTGGGAAGGCCACTTGACACCTCTTGGCTCTCGTGCCTTACCCATGTGATCGCTCACCACCTATGGTGGCATGGGGGCTGGAGGAGTAGCAGGAGGCAGGACGGGCCCAGGCTCTTTGCCTGGCCTCCTTACCTTGGGGTCACCTTTCTCCTGGACTGTCTGTGTCTTGGTGTTGGCCACCTGGGAGATGGACGTGCTTGTGCAGTCTAACGTCAGGGCCAGCGGAAGGGGCTGGGCTGAGTTCCTTTCCCTTGTTTTGTCCTGGAGCCAGTTCCAAAGCTCCCGGCTCCGACCTTTGCCTTCCTGCTGTCAGCCCACGGCTGTGGTTGTGGCCCTGGCTGCTGGTTAGAAATATCTGGGGGTGCTTTAAAAAGAGTGCGCTACCAGACCCCCTCCCCAGAGCTGTGGCTCCCGGCTCAGGGCAGAGCACGCAGCCTGAGCTACTGTCCACTCCCTTCCCAGTGCCTCATTCAGGGGCCTCACCATGGGACCTTGAAATCTGCCTGGATTGCGGCATTTACACCATGGAAATTGGCAAACTCTACGGACCAAGGCCCACAGAGCTGGCCAGTAAACGTTTACCAGCCCACCACGGGTCAGGGCATCCTTATTTTTTCAGAAGCGTCCACAGTGACTTATGAGCAGCGGGCCTGAGAGCCACTGGCCTAAGGTCCCCCCGGGTAGGCCCAGTGAGCCCCGTGTTACCCACAGTGGCTAACAGTCATCTAGTCCTGAGAGAAGGCGAGCTGCTTTGCTTCTGTGAATCAGGCCACTCACTCCTCGCAGCATCCCGTGAAGCAGGGTCCTCATCAGTTTTTAAAATGGTGAAATGGAGTCCAGATGGTCTGCCTGCACCTTGTCCAGGGCCACCCTTCTAGTTAATGGCTAAGGGGGGACTTGGACCTACGTCTGAGCTGCTGGAACTTGAGTCTGGTCAGGGCCTCCTGGGTGGTTGTGGGCAGTGCCCATTCTTCCCAGCGGGTTGGATGAGAGTGAGGCTCTGGTTGTTCCTGATGACCATAGGGTCCGAGCTGCAAGTAGGTCATCATTGTAACCAGGGCCGCGGTGGGCGAGGCTGCCTGGGCAGGGTGCTGGACTCTGAGCCGGGACGGGAAACCCAGAGACTCACGGGCACTGCTGTGTGCTTTCCCCCTCCAGTGGAGCACGACAAGGAATTCTTCCACCCACGCTACCACCATCGGGAGTTCCGGTTTGATCTTTCCAAGATCCCAGAAGGGGAAGCCGTGACGGCAGCTGAATTCCGGATCTACAAGGACTACATCCGGGAACGCTTCGACAACGAGACCTTCCGGATCAGCGTCTACCAGGTGCTTCAGGAGCACTTGGGCAGGTGGGTGCCGGGGTCTGGGGGCCGTGTTGCCTCCAGCTACTGAGGAAGAAAGGGTGCAGGCCCAGGATGGGCCAACAGGGCAGCGGCCGTCACACAGCTGCCACCGTGGGACACCAACCACGTCTGGACTTGGTGTCTCTTTAAAAGAGGGTGCATGATGTGTGTCACAGTTTTCTAAAATGACCGTGGGGATCATCAGCAAATCTGAGCAGGAAGACAAGAGGCCAGGAGGCCTGGGGTGTGTGGCCCATGCAGGGATTGATGGGTGGCCTGGATCAGGCGGGCCCAGGGGGAGCATCCTGGTGATGGTCTCCCACTCTCTGATCTTCACTCCGAGGCCCCACGTGGTGTCAGGCCACCAGTGAAAGTGGCCATTGTAATAAAATGTAATTAGAGGGAACACAATCCTAATCCCCCCCAAAACATCCAGAGAAGTCCCAGTGTTGGAAGTCCCCAGGTCAGGAGCCAGAGTCGGTGCTCAGAGACTTTAATTTCGGGTTGTGACACTCCTACTGTCCCCTGCTGCTGTGACATGCTAGCTCATGAAGAAGGGTGGTGTTTGCCTCTGATGGTCAGCCCTCGCCCTTCAGGTGGGAAGGGGACGTGTTGACCACAGACAGCAACCTACAATGCACTGCCGCATGCCCGCTGAGTGCCGCTGTCTCGGGGGTCATCTTGACCGTGGATAACATGAAACGTCAGTGGGAGGGCGCTTGCCTGGCATGCGTGAGGCCCTGGGTTCCATCCCCAGCACTGCGAATAAAAAAAAAAAAAACAAGGCAACAGAATGAGGCTTGTGCGGGGCGTCCCGTGTCTTGCCTCACCTCACGTCACACTCACGTAGCCTTCTAAGGAAACTCTGCAAAGTGAGAGTGGAAGTGGCCCGAAGCCAGAGCGCACGGCCACCTGGTGAGAACATGGCCACATGGGGACTTGGGCCAGGGTTTGGGAAGAAGCTGGAGCCGTGCCTACAAAAGTATTTCCTTTAAAACTTGTATTTGGATAGATAAGGCTCCCCACCACCACCATGGAGGCCATTCCTGGCCCTGACGTGGCCTCCTCGGGTCAGGGTGGCGCCACGGCAGGTGGTCTCCTCCACACTTGCCTGTCCATCTGAAGTCCTAGACTGTGGGGCACTGGACTCACACGTGGTTTCTGGGTTGTTCCTGTGGACGTTGTATGGACGTCTCTCCTCGAGCCAGGGAGGGGACAGGGCCGGCTCACCAAGGTCGCTTAACCAAGCTGTCAATCCCTGTCAGTCTGACAGGGGACAGAGGGTGTCCCTGTGTGGTTTAAATCTTCCATTCCAGAGGGCCCCGCCCAGGGCCACCCTGTGCTGCTTCCCTGCTGGAGGGGATGGTCCTGGGAAGGAGCTGGATGGCCTGAGGGGCAGGGCCAGTGTCTGTAATCACCTCTGGGTCTTCCTAAAGGCTTTCTGGCAGGTGCCCCGGCAGCCTGGCGGGCTGTACCTGGTCCCTAGGCACAGCTTCCAGAGAAATTTCGGATTCATTCTTGGGGGTTTTAGAGGTTTGTCTATCCTCTGACAAACGCCCCAGGACTTTCTTTATTGTTATTTTGCAGAGCTGGGGATGGAGCCGGGGCCTCAGGCTGCTTGGGGCTCCAGCACAGCCTCCCCCCAGGACTCTTGGACAGACTTGTGCTTGATTTTTCTCATGAAGGCGGGTGACTTGGGGCAGGGCAGGCACCCTGAGGCTGTTGGTCAGCAGCACTAACTGGGCCCACTTGTGTCATCCTTGAGCCCACTCCCCCCACCCCACCGACCTCCTGGCAGACTCCCCAGATCTGCCCTCAGCCAGCGGTTCTCTTTGCCCTGCTGCGGACCAGGTGATTGGGCCTGGGAGCGCCTCTGCAGCCCCGTGCTGCTCTTCCCTTGAGGGGTGTCTCCATCCATGGCTCCCAAGTCCTGTGCTCGCCTGCCCTGCTCCACCTGGGGAAGGTGCTGGATGGGTGGTCAGGGATCCGCAAGTGGGGCCCGGGCTGCCGACGTGGAGGTCAGGGCTGCTACGTTTGCACAGAGACGTGGGTTCTGTGATGTATCTGTTGAAGCTCCACTGAGCACCCCACACCAGGCACCGTTCTCAGAAGTCAGATCACCAGAGCCAGTGAGAGGGGCTCATGAGGGCAGGCCTCATCCCGTGTTGTTTTGGGTACCGGGGATTAAACTCGGGGGCACTCGACCACGGAGCCAGCTCCTCAGCCCTATTTGGTATTTTATTTAGAGACAGGGTCTCACTGAGTTGCTCTGTGCCTCGCTTTTGCTGAGGCTGGCTTTGAACTCGAAATCCTCCTGTCTCAGCCTCCCGAGCCGCCGGGATTACGGGTGTGCGTCACTGCGTCTGGCTCATCTAATGCTTTGATTGAGGGCATTATCTTTCCTAGGGAGGCGATAACAAGGCCGCAAATTGGGGTGGCTTAAAGCAGCAGGGCTTATTCCTTGAATTCTGGACTGAAGCTCTCAGGGTGCCCTGTTCCTCCTAAAACCTGTCTGGGGTCTTTGCTTATCTCCTGCTTCTGGTGGTGACCACTGGCTGTTGTGCTCCCAGGCTGCACACGGACCAGCCCCGTCTCGGCTGCTGTGGTCATGTGGCTCCCTGTTTTCCCACGGGTTCTCCTCGTCTGGCTCTCCCTCTTCTCACACAGGCCTGGGTGCCACCCATAATGGATTACGCCTGCAGAGACGCTACTTCCAGATAAGGTCCGAGGCCAGGTGCCAGGTGTTAGGACTTGAGTGTCTTAAGGGGGCTCTGATCCAATCCATGCAGCATCCAGAAAGTGAGAAGCAAACACAGGAGCCAGTAAGCAGACCGGACAGCTGTTGGGACTGGCTGGAGCAGGTGTGTGGGCAGGTGTGCCTTAGGTAGGGTGGTCACGGAGGGCACTGAAGGACAAGAAGTCTCTGCAGCAGAGGGTGGGGCTGCAGTCCTCAGGTCAGAGGGGCTGATGAGGGTCGTGAGTCTTGCTGAGGGTGAGACGGAGCCTTTACGGGAAGCTCTTTTTTTGGGGAATTGACCTGAGGGGTCTAGACCACTGAGCCACGTCCCCAGCCCTATTTTGTATTTTATCTAGAGACGTGTCTGACCCGCTGTGGGGTCTCTGCTCCCTGTGCTGCCTCTGTCACTTGCTGACTTCCTAGTCACTCGGTCCTATCTCAGTTTGAGGTGGCTGCCTCCTGCCCCTTACAGGGGTCTAAGGGTGGGTCCTGGGTGCCCAGGTGGGGAGAAGGCCTGAGTCATTGCAGCTGATGGAGGTAAGGTGAGACAGGTGTCTGGGCTGGTGGCCAGAAGTCTGTCTCTGATGGCTCTTGGCTTGCTGGGAGGTCATGCTCCTTGTTAGCAAGTGTCCCAGCAGAGGAAGTGACCACAGGGTCTGGGACAGCTGGCAGGCAGGACGCACCTGGCAGCCAGGGGGCAGAGTTGGAGGCGGGGGCGGGAGGAGGGCTCGTGCTGTGTGGGTTGCTCGGGTTTCTTTCTGTGCCGGAGAGAAGGATGAAGAGCTCCTCGCTTCTCCAGAAACGAAAAGGATAAAACTTTTAAAAAAGTTACTTATTCATTTCCTGAGATTCAGTGTTGACTCTAGAGCATGGATTCGAATCCGGCCACCAGGCACCAGTGTGACCTTGGGGACCAGGAACCCCAGGGCCTCAGTTTCCTCCTGTATAAATTGGGGGTACCTGGCCCTCCCTCCCAGGCCTGTGTGGAGGGAGAAAGGAGTTGACCTACTCAGCCATTGCCACCTGGGGGGTGCTCACTGCAGGCTCAGCGGTGGCCTGTCATCGTCACCGTGGGAAAGGGAGAGCTGCTGGCTTCGCCATCTCTGCCTTTTCTTTGTCTTTGGCTAAATCGCTGGGCTTTGTGGTCGCTCAGCGGGAGAAGGTCTGAGCTCAGGATGCTCTGCGGGCCTCCAGGCCTCTAGCCTCTCACCTCTGCAGGGGTGGAGCGCACCTGTGCTGCCCCTAACCGGGCCCCTTGTCTGAGTTCCCCAAAGAGCCCGGATCCCACCCACCACCCCGGCCGTGGAGCCACCCTGGTCTTTGTGCTGAGGAAGCGGTGGCCTTGCGCCAGCAGCTGCCCAGCTGTGCAGGGCTGAGACATCTGGCTGCCTGGCACGCTCTGCTGGAGCTCCAGGAAAGCCCGGGGGTGCCGGGGATTAGCCGGCTTGGGTCGGCCTCAGCGTCTCCCCTCGTGGGAGTCACTTTCCACCAAGTCCTCTTGATCTCTCGGAATCCAGATTAAATTCCGATAATGAGCTGAGCTGGAGGCCTTCCATGGCCCTGGGCGCTGCATGAGCTGGGCCCCAGACAGCTGGTGAGACGTGGAGGAGCCGCCCTGGGCGGCTGGGGAGCAAGTGGGGCTGCGAGGCAGGTCTGGGGCTGGTGGCCTTGGCTCTGGGCACCTTGCGGAGGGTGGGGAGGTGAAGGGCTCGGTCTTAACCCCGTTCTCTGAATCATGGCCTGAGTCTGGACAAGCTGGGCCTGGCTTCCAGGGGCTGGACCTGCCCGTCCCTGTTGGCTCCAGCTTTGGTTCCAGCTGCTGGGGAGGGTATTTGGGGTGGGGGTCTCTTCAGTCATGAAACCAGGCCAGAGTGCTCCATCCCAGCCTCCCCAGCCCAGGGAGGGACGTGTTGAGAGCTGGCCTCTGAGAACTCTGGGGAAGTGGAGGCCAGGCCCCCCTGGCCACCACCAAGGTCGAGATGATGTCGGCAGCTGGATGAAGAATGTCCCTTGCTCCATCTCAGGGATTTTGGCTGCCAGCAGGGTGACCTCAGAGTGGTCTCCTGTGCCAAGATTTGGATCAGCTGCAGCCTGAGTCACTCCGAGGAAGAGGGGGCTGTTGTGTGCCTGTCCCCCACAGGGGAGAGGTCGGCAGGGGAGGCCGAGGTGTGGCTCACAAGCTCCTTTCAGCCAGGCCAGCCCTCTTGTCCCCGCCCTGCCCTGGGTGGGAATGCTCTGTCCAAGCAGCTCCTGCGGCCCACCCCAGGGC